AAAACAAAGCCACAGCAAATAACTGCCAGTGGATACTCATTTTTATCAGTAATCCTACTAGTGAGAGACTGTTACCCCAGTTTGGGATTTATTTAAATGCATCTTCTGAAAAGTAGACAAGAAAACTAGGTTTTACAACACAAAGATCGTGAAATTTGTAAAGGCCTGAGAGTCCAGCATGACAAATCACGTGTAGCTTAGACTTACAGCTATCACCCATCAGCAGTCAGTCAAACGTGTCACACAACACTGTGCTAGAACAGTAACAGCAGATTGTACAGAAGCACTTACTCAGATTATAGTTTATCTGCTGGAGGCGTAAGACAGAAAACCAACACCTCTGCACCTCCAGCTAAAAGATTGAAGGCTTCATGAAAACACTATAGCTGATAGCTTCAGCACAGCTTAAAGCTGTGCAGCCCATCCTGACAAACTGCAAGTCTCTAGAGATTTAGTGTTTGATAAGGCGAAGCTCTGATCTTGCGACTAACTAACCTACCTGACTGCCCTTACCTTTTTCAAAGAATACCTAGTCTTCACCACATTTAACCATGGAAATTAGCTCGCTTGTCTGAAAAGGCATTCTCAGAAATCCTCCATCTTCTACCTTTACAAAGAACAGGTACTGAACCGCCATGGCTGTAAACCAGTATTACCGAGCGCTGAGACCAAAACTGTGGGCAAGAAGCGATGCACAGAAAAACTTTTGAGTTTAAGTGTTTTAAGATCTTCTAAAGAGCGAGATGAAATACCAGAATGGTCTACAGGAAGCTCCTTGCTAACTTGCAAGGCACAGAAGGTGAGCCTTTGAATAACAAGAGACCTTCAGCATGAAGCCCTAAATATTTAATACCTGGAAGAAACATCAAGATGCAACCAAAAATACTGGAGAAAGCTTTATAACATGCTAAGTAAACTAAATACCCTAGAGGAATTAACCCATTTAACTAAAGGAGTGTCTAGCTTATTTTTCCTGTGTTACTGTTGGGTATACATCCATGGTGTCTGATCTTGGAATCAGATCAAATCTTTCGGTGCCCCTTGATTTTCAGCATTTCTAATCATTTAGCTGCATCTCTGGAGTCTTTTCACCTAAATCTGGGCAGCCAAAATGAACTCCAGCATTGTGGGTGAGACCCGAAGAATTTACATGATTAAGAACCAATTTTCTGATATTAAAAAGATTCATTTTGATTTTAAGAGATATAATACTTTCCAGCCAACTTTACCTATTAAGTGTTGCTCAATTATGCAGTGTTACAGTATCATATTCTGTACTTACTCCTTACGATAAATGTTTACCATTTATGCTTGTACTTAATTCCAAACTTAAACCAACTTCCAGATTTATCAAATATCACTTTGCACTCCACGACCTTTCTTAACCACCAAGAAGGGCTTCTTCCAGGCTTCCAAAAAGTGCTAATGACTCCCAACAAGCTGTTTTCTGTCTGCGCTAGCATGCTCACGAAACTTCAGATAAGTCTGAAAGGCAATTGTTTAAAAACATACTTTCATTAAAGTCAGAGTTCCACAGATGCATAAAATGACAATAAAAATCTGTCTTCCAGGTCCCCATTTATCCAAGTGTGAATTCTTCATTGTGGTAGAATGCTTAACATTCGTACAGACTTTTTTTTTAATGGGAAAAATGGATAAGCTTGGAGTTCCAGGTTAAACTATGGGAGTGAGACATCCAGCCCCCACATTTGGACTTGAGCGCTTCCAGCTTGTTCCACTGCCCTCCAGTTCAGTCGGTGCTAGACCAAATTCCTACTCTTTTATGATCTAAGTACATCAAAGAAATGGGCCAGAAAGAAAAGTTTAAAAGCAAAGCTTTTGGAGACTATCCTTCAGCATTTACCAGTGAAAGTTCAATAAAATACTTTGCTCTCTCACCTTGTGCATGAGTCTCCATTATGTGAAGATCTCCAGCTGCTCCAAGTACCTAATTAAATTTTCATGGTATTTTCATTGATCATGAGCAAATATTCCTCATGAAGTATAAGCAAAATAAACACTTTGACCAATACATTTTGTTAGTGTTTAGTTTCTTGGATTTGGTACATTGCACAAGATGGTCCAAAAAGAAAAGCCAGTGCATCTTAATGTTTTTACATTTCAGAGCACTATTACCAGAATATTGGTAAAATTAAATTCTTAGCTTTTTCTTTCTTTTTAGATATTCCAGCTCATTGTCTCATCCGTATTGTGCTGCATTATTTCTTGGCCACAAACATGTGTTTACCCGTGAAAATCTAGTGTCAGCCTTAGTTATGTGTCTTGTGAAATTCCAAATGCTCAAACCACAAAATAAACAAAACTAAGGAAAAACCAAAACCTCAACTATTGTCTCAGCTCATACTGTGTCATGATCCAGCCCAGTATTATGCAAATACAGATAAAATGTGTATGGTAAAACTGAGTCAGAGTTTACCCAGCCTCTTAGGCAGACTTTTAAAGAGCTTGTAAAATGTGTAATTTCTTAATATCAGCCTATACAGTCAAATCTTGCTAATTAACGTTTGGTTAATTCACCAATGAAACAATTCAAATCTTTTGGTGCACAGCTTCTACTATTAACTTCTCATTATTCTAACAAGATACACCACAATACTTAAGTTCTGTTACTAAAGTACAAATTCAGATAGCTGAAATTTGTTCTGAAAAGTATAAACTGAGCTAAATTTGATGGCTATCTTTTCAAAAGAAAGAGGTCGGATCACTTCCCATATAAATAGAAGAATCTGCAAGACAGTTAAATAAGACTTAACTTCTGCAGGACCTACTATATTTTTCCATTTATCTTATTTCACAATAAGAAATCGGTGAATAAATGTGGATTACCATATCTTATTATTGTGAATTATGTACTTACTTCAGAAGTGTATTTATTATTCTATTTTTCAATGATGGCAAAGAAGACATTTTCTTTGTTAGAAATTTTTCAGGCAATAACTCCAGTCAAATTTACATTTAGCTACATTGTCTCTTTTAGATGATTCAGAAGTTCAAGTTTACAAAGGACTCCATCCAACAGCATTACTCCAAATCTACAGGAACAAGAAACTGGCAAGAGAATTAAGCTGCCAAATGCAGAATTACACCCGGACTATGTAATTTTTTAAATCAAGAAAGCAGAAGAAAAATAGTCATTGTGGTAAGAAAATTCTTTTTATCCTTTGTTAGGCATGTATGAAGCACTGACATGGACCTACCAGAACGAGTCCTTAATAAGGCAGGGGGGCAGAGAGGTAAAGATAATGGAAAAATAGGGTTTTCAAAAAGTATACTTTGATTAGTTGTTTTGATTGCAATGGCTCTCTAGTCTACTAATCGATGTATAACTGTGCATTTCTATGAGCTATGTTTTGACAAAGGTGTCTTTTCAAGTTCACGCAGATCTGGAGAGAAAAACATTTCTCTGCCACAAGCTGAAGTAATTTATTGCACTGTCAACCAAACAAGTAGCTTTAAGCTACTTTACAACAAGTCCCAGAAATTAAACGCCACACTTCTGAAGCATACAGGATATGATTAACTAAGTACCATAGTGCTGTTCCATTTTATTTTTGTAAAAATGGCAAGCGCAAAGCCATTGTCGGTAAGAAAATACGAATTGGTCTGCATAATAAATGATCAGCAGCATTACTGTATATTTGATCGTCATTCATCTGTTTAAGTGGGTATACGTCTGGGCAACATTTGGTTTCAGCGTGCACTTTGTTAAGAAATCCACTCTGCTACATCAAGATCAACCGTATCTACCTAGAAAGTAAACCGAAAGAAACAGGTTTCCACTCCCCTCTGACTTCACATGAAAAGTACACACAACAGGAGTACCACTTCCATGAAGGCAGAGAGACCTGTGTTAACAGAACTAATTAGCATCCAACAAAAAAGCTGAGCAGAAAGCTAACATGTAGCCCCGAGAAGCAACCAGCCGGCAGCCCCCCACTTCCTCTGAGAGGGCTCAGCCACGCAGGGTAAGCGGTGCAGCAGCAAGTGAATCCAGCCAGCCGAGCAGTTTCCAAGAAGCGGGCTCCTCTTCTCTCCGAAAACGTAACCGCTCGTCACCTCATCTCCCCCACAGCGATACCTCCCTGTGCTCCTCCTTTCTGCGTGCACCACTGCCTCGTCTGAAGCATCCCGTGGCAAGCTTGCGGCCTGGCACGAGAGGGGCAGCTCTCCCTCCAAAACGAGTTCCTAAGAGCTACAGCAGGCACCTCTGGCCGATGCCTGTGAACACACAGACCCCGCTCTGCAGTGCCCCTGCGCAGCCTGAGGGACAAACGATCCCAAGGGATGTTGTGTGGTGGCTTTATTGTTTGGGTTGGGTTTGGGGTTTTTTTTGCCCTCTTAAAGACATTTCTCTGCTAGTGAAACACCTATGGCAGCCAAAGACCTCAGCCAGCAGTCAAACTGCTCTCTGGTGGATAACCAAAAGCTGACCATTAAAAGCCAAAGCCCTGCAAGAGTTCAGGTGAAGGATCATTAAGCCTCTTCCCAAGTCGGGGACCCCTCGCAGCCGACCTCGCTGAGAAAGCCTGTACCTCAATACGCACACCATGAGGCCACAGCAGCACCCAGAACACCTCAGGCTGAGCAGCTCCGGTGACCAGGGGATAGCGCGGGCCGGGCAGGGTCGCGGGAGCCCTCCAGCCTGGCCCCCTCTCCAAGCTGAGCCAACTTCAGAGCCGGACAAAGCTGTTCTCCGCCCGTTTTTAAACTCATCTCCTCAATCCCACCGCCGCGAGCACCTTC